TTTATGACGAGCGCCTGCATCACCAGGTGACACAGGCTGAGTCGCTGTAGCAACCGATGACACATCAGTTGCAGTGGTTTCTGCTTCGACGTCTGCACAGAGACGTGCAGACCCGCTCTCAGCTGACTTGTTCGCGCACCGCATGGACTTGTTTACCATGCGATGAAACTAATGGACTGTGGACTCGGACCAACAAGTGCAAACCCTGTCCCAAATGATTTGGGACGAGTATCCATTTAGTCAATCAGTCACTCAAGTGACTGATGGTTAAGGGGGGGTGATGTAACGGGGTGAATCGTTACATAACAATTTGTAAGAAATTTTTAGTAGAATATAACTATAAGAGTTGTATTCTCAGAATATTGTCATAAGGACAAATATTCTGTAGCACTTACGAGTAGTTCCTAATTGGTTGATATAGGCCATTATATCAACCAACGAAGACGCGCCACGACAGACGCACGCAATGAGTGGTGAGCAGATAATTGATTTACACATTTGTATTTAGACATAGTTAGATGGAGATAAATAGTGATTTATTGCAGACATTAACTATACTGAATACAGCTCTACTTTTTACTCTAACCAAGTACTCGCTTCTTCTTACCGTCTTCCTCTGCACGTACGAGTGTACGTGAAGTTACGAGGCACCGCCTTATTCTGTCATCAGAATAAGTAGCTTGTACTGTCACCAGTACAAGCTTCAGGGTGCCCCGTTACAGCTTGGCCTTATTAAACAGGACGTGACTCTCGCTGACAATTTCATGGAACACCTACCATACGTTCATTCAACCATACAGACCAATGTCGCTACATTATTTGGCCATCTAACATGCGAGCAACGGACTGACATTGAAAATTTTCTTTTTTCAATGTTTGAAAGCTGGTGTCACGAACTCCCTGAACAGCACTGGAAACTTGGCGTCATCCATACTTTCCAAGCCATCTGGACACGGAATTGTCTATGCATATAAATCATGCTCGACAACACCATTTCTCGGGCCAAAGCTCTCATGCAAGGACTGTTACAGGAAGGACGCATGGCACTACAAGATTCAACGATGGAGACAACTACTGGCCGACTAACTAAAAGTGGCAACGTGGCGCTACCATTTACGATAGTATCACAGGATGACTTACGAACTTGCCATTGTTTCGAGCACACCGGCCGTAGCATTCAAGTGCTAGAGATGGATACGCGCTCTCTACAATCCATATGAAAGAGGTGACGGACAACCTCCGTGGCGACCTAGCTCACTGGCAGGGAGGTAACTGGAAGGAGATTGGACAAGCTCATACACAAGATGTTGATCCGAGGTAGGCGATGGTAGCTGCCATATGTTAGCACAATCTGTAGCTAGCACAGCAGTAGGGGATGTCTAGGCTACTACCAGACGGGCATTTTCGGGTTGTTAGCTCCACTAAAGTATTGTAATGTACTCAAATAACAGAAACGTTTCTTCATTGGTTCCGTCCGAACGTTTTGGGCATTTTTTCTTCCCTTTTAATTTTAGGTTTTGGCAACCCCTTTACCGTTCGCTGGGTGGTCACAGAAACGAGGAAGAAGGGGATGCCAAACTTAATAATCCGCCACTGTTTCTACCTCCATGCAGGACAACAAATCGATGCGATCATTAGGCATCGTCATTTCTGTGCAGGAGCTATTTAGTCGAGTAGTCTGCTCCCCAGCTGTGATGTACCCCTCTTCGCAACCCCCACAGTTGGCGAGCAAACAGCCCCCTGGAGATAAAAGTCGACATCACTCGCCCAAAACAAGTCGCGCCGTTCGTGTTCGAGCTCAATTGTCCCCACTCGATGGCAGTGATCACCTTCACGCCTCTCTACGGCGTGCACTCGAGCGCCCCCTGCTGCGCGTATCTGCTCGAGGTGGACGACGTGTGCATCTTGCTCGACTGCGGCTGGACGGATGAGTACGACGTGGAGATCCTGAAGCCGCTGCAGCGCGTGGTGGACCGCATTGACTTGGTGTTAGTATCGCACTTGGACCTGGCGCACATGGGGGCGCTGCCATATGCGATGGGCAAGTTGGGGCTGAACGCGCCTATTTATGGCACACTGCCCGTGCACCGTATGGGACAGATCGCTCTGTACGATGCGTTTCAAGCCAAGACGAAGCACGAGAGCGACTTTGCGCTCTTCTCACTGGACGACGTGGATCTGGTCTTTGAAAAGTTCCAGCAACTGAAGTACTCGGAGAAGTTGACGCTCACGAGCTCCGGTGAAGGCATTGTGATTACGCCTCATGTGGCTGGCCATCTCATTGGCGGTGCGTTGTGGAGAATCGTGAAGGAGACGGTGAGAGCTGTTTGAGAGAATGGAAGGTGTTGACGTTGTGTCTGACTATGGATCTGCTCTTGGACGGATGTCTGCTGCTGGCGTAGGATGACATCATTTACGCTGTGGACTACAATCATCGCTCGGAGCACGTGTTGCAGAAGACGATCTTGGACTCGTTCACGTGAGATGTAGCTGAATGTTTACAGCACCAGTGACTGGCTCATATTCACGTTTGTGCTGCTTTTCGTGGTCTTATTTGTGGATGTTTGCGATTCGCAGACGTCCTACATTGCTCATTACAGATTCAATGAATCTACACAGGGAGCAGCCGAAGCTAAAGGACCGAGATAGCAAGGTTGGTTATTGTTCTTTTGGTGGTAGTACAGATGTCTGGAGTCAAGGCTAAGGAATTTGATTCGCTCATGATGTGTAGATCATGATGGAAATATTGAAGACAGTGCGAAATGGAGGAAATGTGCTGATCCCAACCGACAGCTCTGGCCGCGTCTTGGAACTGATGCGGGTACTGGACCAGTACTGGATCCAGAACAAGTCCGTGCTGAGCATTTGCGCGGTGATGCTGCTGGCACTGCCCGAGCAACCACGAGCTAATGTCGTCATTGTTGTGTAGGCTACGTGACCCAATCGCGCTACTTCATGATATGAGCTACTACACGCCGAAGACTGCGCAGGCAATGCTAGAGTGGTGCAACGACCGCATTGCAAAGAACTTTGACGTCGGTCGACAAAATCCGTTCCAGTTCTCGTACGTGTCACTTTGTTCGAGCAGAAGCAGTGCGGCTTGCAAAACACCTGATGTTGTTTTGTTGTTAGACACATTCATCTAGTACATACTCTGGAAGAACTAGATGCTCTACCAAGTCCTAAGGTAAGGCAAAGCGTGGATTGGCTGTCAAGAACACGATAGCTGATCTTCATGTTGCACATTTCAGGTGGTTTTGGCTACTTCGCCGAATCTAGAATGTGGCTTTGCAAAAGACATATTCATTCGTTGGGCTCCGGATCCCCGGAATACCATCATCTTCACTTCAACGACGCCGGAAACATCATTCGCGTATCGTGTACTCACTCTCGCGAAGGGCCCATCAGCACAAAGGAACATCTCATGCACAGTGACACAGAAGGTGTTCCTGGAGGGAGCAGAACTCGCACTGCACGAGGTAAAGGAACGAAAACGTCTTCGGACTGAGGCGGAGAATAAGGCAAAGGAGATGGAAGAGGCAGCTATGGAAGATATGATGATGGGAATTGAAGACTTTGAATCGGAGTCAGAAGAAGAGGTAGCCACGAAGCAAGAAGGTGCGTCGCGAGAGCCGAATTGCGTGGATGTTCTGGTATTTACTCTCAAACTGCAGTCCAGCTTCGGGGTACCTATAAGGTCGGCTTGGGGCAGTTTGCATCGGTCCGGTATCCGATGTTTTTTGCTGTAGAACCAAAGATCGAGTATGACGAATATGGAGAGGTTGGTCAATCGGCGCAAAGGTTGCAGTTATGTGCGGCGTGATGCCTTTCTGATATGCACTTGCTGCCGATAGATCATCAATCCCGACGACTACAAGGACGCGTCTCTGTTGGCCAGCCGCCAGGCTCGCCGCAACCTCATCGAGGACGAAGACGGAGATGTGGACATGGACAAATCCAATGAGGAAGCTGCTGTTGAAACTCGGCCGACTAAAACCGTGACAAACGAAGTCGTCGTCAACGTAAGAGCTCAGCTGTATCAGATCGTGACATCTATCTGCTGCTTACGATATCTTTCGCTGTACTCAGATTGCTGCCCGCATCGCACAAGTTGATTTTGACGGGATCGCAGATGGCCGAGCAATCCGAAACTGTTTGGGCAACGTAAAGCCTCGAAAGCTCATTCTAATTCATGGCACGGAGACCACAACAAGCGAGCTCAAGAAGTTTGTGGAATCGTCGATCCCTATGTGCGAAGCCGTGTTTACTCCAAACGTGATGGAGTGTATCGATATCGAGTCCGACACGAACGTGTACAAATTGTCGGTGAAGGAGTCGCTGTACACGTCGGCAGTGTTCTGCAAGGTACGGTGATGAATGCATCCACAGTCACCCCTTTAGGTAACTAACGTCGTGCTGATGAACAGGTCGGTGGCCACGAAGTCGCCTATGTTACTGGTCAGCTCGCATTATCGGAGAATAGCTCCGTGCCAGTGCTGCAGCCGCTCAACGAAAACGGCGGCCAGACGGCGCACGATCCAATCATGCTGAGCGACGGGAAGATGAAGCTCGACGTGATGAAGCAGGTGTTGGGCAAGGCGGGCTATCAGGCCAAGTTTCGTGGCGGTATGTTGGTCTGCAATGACGGCGTCGTGCTAAAGCGCGCGATGGATAATGAGATCGTGATGGAAGGCACGTTGTCGAGGAGCTATTACCGCATCCGAGCGCTGTTGTACGAGCAGTACACGCTCGTGTAGGTTCCAACACGCGCTAGTCAATTCTCAAAACACGATGCCCGAAAAGTATCAAATCTGCAGACTCGAGTGATTTCTCACCACCAGCATTTTACGACCTCGCACTGTCAACTTTGTCAAATACACAAAACAACAAGTCGCAAGCCTCTGACTCGACTCCTTCCAAACCTCTACTTAGCAATAGTCCACTCTTTTTATTCCAACTCACGCGACTTGGCGTGTGAGTGGCTCAGTTCGGTTCCAAGGATGTTGGCGCTCCAGCGACAAGCAGCGCTGCAACTGTCTCGCTTCTCCACTACAGCAGCTGCTACTGCTGCTGCCAGCACCGTCGAGAGTCCGTCCAACGTGCTGCAGCTGCTAGTGCGCGACGCAGACGGTTCACGCGCGTCTCGACGTTTGCGCAAACAGGGCTTCCTGCCTGGTGTGCTCTACGGGGAGGGCGAGGACGGCAAGGACGAGCGCGTGCTGGTGTCGTTCCCTACCCGCGCTTTCCAGCGCATGCACCGCAAACTCTGGACGTCCATTGAGAACCAGGTGTTCCAGGTGCAAGTGGAGGAGCAGCCGCCTGTCAAAGCTTATATGCGGGACGTGCAGCTGGATCCCGTCACGGACGTGCCACTTGCTGTCAACTTTTTGCGCTATAAACCCGGACGGGTCGTGTCCATTCCGATCACGTACTTGAACGAGGAAGGCAGTCCCGGTCTCAAGCGTGGAGGTTTTATCAACCACATTTACCACGCGCTCGAGTGCACGGTTTCGACGGACGATGTTCCAACCACCTTGCAGATCGACGTCAATGGGCTGCACGTGGGGGACAAGGTGTTCCTGGAGGCCATCACGTTCCCGGAAGGAGTCGAGCCGAACGTTCCCGAGGGATGTCTGGTCGCTAAAATTGCCGGTCGTCGGGGTCTCATCCCTCGTGTGGAGCCGGTGATCGAGGAAGTCGTGGAGCAGAAGGAAGCAGATGACGACGAAGACGAGTTCGACGACTGGAATGACATTTTCTAGACATGTTTACAGGAGACAGGGATGAGTGAAGGAGAACAGAGACGGTCGGTGGAATGGCTTGGAATCGCTGCTGTTGCTGCTTGTGTTGGACCTTACTGCGTGGTGGGGCTCTGTTCTCGCTGTCGAAGCATTTAAATAGACCCCGATCGTCCGTTCATTTTATGCCGACCCTGACTGGAGCTCGCGATCCGCTGCGGCCATGTGCTGGTTGGTATCTACTCGGGGGGCGCTGCTCCGCCGGTCGCTCCTGCTGTCCTCGGTTCGAAGAACGACGCTGTATCGGGCAACGCCTTCTCGCTCTTCTCCTGATCTGTCCTCATCCTTTTACTCCCACCACTACCATCCGCATGCACGAGCTTCACGTCTGGAAAGTCTGGACGCAGCCAATCCAGCGACGCCGTGGTCTGGATCGTGCGCGTCACATCCGACGCCTTGATCTGCCGCTTGTTGCGGTACAGCGCCTGCTCGTAGCTCTTGGTGCCTAGAAACTGGGCAAATAGCTCCTGCAGCAACAAGACCGAGTCAGCACAATTGCCCCATTACTCCCGTGTAGCTGCCGGGTGGTAGTTCGTTCACTAGCGTCCGTACTGCTGCCTTTGCGATCGCCACCAGCGCGTCCTTCGAGACTTTGCCCATGTCTGGGTCGCTCTGCACGATCTTCCTCACTCTCGCCAGTGGGTACACACAAGCACAACGGGATTGTAGCACGTCCTTCGCTTCTTCCGAGGGCTCCTCTTGAACCTCAGCCTTGTCCTGTAGCTCCCGTTGATACCGCGCCTTGTCGTTGACCGCCATTTGCACAAAGACCTCCTTCTCCTCGGACGTGAGCGCCTGCCACTGCACGCTGATGACCTTCTGGATGTCACCGATGCGAGCGCCCGGATGCTCGTCCATCACCTGCTTGCGCTTCTCATGGCAGAAGTGCAAGTACGAGCTCTGCGGTTTCTTCACACGCGCCATTGTCTCGCAACAAAGTCGTGTTCAATTCAAGAATGAGTCAATTGAGTCGATGAAATGAGTCAATTAAGTCGATGAAATGAGTCAATTAAATCGATCAAATGATGAATTGAGGTGTCACTATTTGATGCCTCGATTGTGTCCATTGCCAAAGGACACCTTTTGTCAGCTGTCTGTTTTTGTCTCGATGTGCCCCATTACAGTGTGAAAGTCTCAACTGAACCACATCTCTCGACATGGGCGGCAGCGGCAGCAAAAGTGCCGAGACGTCTAGCAGTACGCAGCAAGCGCCGTCCAAAGCCGCCTCTGTGAAGGACGAGGTGCTGGGCCTCGTGCTGGACGGCTTGATGCTCTACACCATCTACCAAACGTCCAAGTACCTCTACAAGGTGAGCTGACGTTTTGCTTGGTCCACGCTATCTCTCCTCGAACTGTATGGTCAGGTCCCTCCTGAGTTCACAGTAGTCTCTATGGTGCACAGCAAGCGAAGCCCATGCTCGACGACTGGAACAAGGGTCAGGACAGTCAAGCCAAGCTGAAGAATCGCCTGCAGCGCACTGGACGCCGTGCCTTCAGCACCAACTACTTTGAGAACGTCATTGCTGGCGACATCGTGGACCCACAAGACATTGACGTGTCGTTTGACGACATTGGCGGTCTAGAGCGCCAAAAGCGCGACATCCACGATCTCGTAGTGCTGCCGCTGCGAAGTCCCGAGTTCTTTGCGTCTCGTGGGACCCTGCTCACGGTTCCCAAAGGCATTTTGCTCTACGGTATGCCTGGAACAGGTAAGACCATGCTGGCGAAAGCTATTGCCAAAGAATCCGGCGCGTTCTTCATCGATCTCAAGATCAGTACGATCATGAGCAAGTGGTTTGGCGAGTCGCAGAAACTTGTACGCGCGGCTTTTTCGCTGGCTCGGAAGTTGGCACCGTGCATCATTTTTATCGATGAGGTCGACTCGTTCATGGGCAAGCGAGGCGGCGTGTCGGATCCCACGTTTTTATCCATGAAAACGGTGAGCACTACAGGAGTGAGCAAAATGGCTGCATGTCTTGCTGGTGTTTGACTCCTCTCCTCTGCTGTTACTACAGGAATTCTTGGCGCTTTGGGATGGTTTTACCGAGATGAGCAATGAGAACAACGGTGGCTTTGGTGTGATTGTCATGGGTGCAACCAATCGTCCAGGTGACGTGGATCCAGCCTTCCTGCGTCGCATGCCTCGCACATTTGAGATCGGACTGCCCGATCGGCCGCAGCGTGAGAAGATCCTTCGACTTCAATTGAAGACGGAGGTAGTGGATGATACTGTCAATTTTAGCAATCTTGCCAGTGACACGGTGTACTACAGTGGTAGCGATCTGAAGGAATTGTGTCGCGCTGCTCTGATGATTCCGCTTCGTGAACACATCGACAATTGCCGCGCCGCAGTAGAAGAAGCCGCAAAAAATCAGCCTGCTGAAGACGAAAAGCCCCAGATACGCGACAATGCTGCTCTGCCCAAGCCACCTACAATGCGTCCACTGTCGATGGCAGACTTTGACGAGGCAAGAACTATGGTGCAACCAACAGGTGCGACGGCATATGCATACGAGAACGCACAGAACGAAAAGCCAGGTCGCCAATCATCCAACGGCCCAGGGATGTCCATGGATCCGGACATGTTCGCGGCAGTTTTGGCTGCTGGCCTGCAGAGCTTAATGCAGCAGAGTCATAACGTCACACCGGCTCACGATTAGGTTGGTGAGGAGGCAAAAGCTGGCTAGATGAATAAACGCTTTGTGAGTATAAACTCGTTTCGCTGTGCCTGCGGGTCCACTTGTGCGACGCCAAGCAGTTCTGGTGAGGAACGGCTGTAAATGCGAATGGGCTTGCCACTGATGAGGCTGTAGTGCTTCTTTTTCGCACAGTTGATCTCGTCTGCCGGGACAGCCACAACACCGCCATTCAGCCAGCGTTGGACAGTAGACTGAGGCAACTCCGCGAACGGAAGATGCTGCAACATGCTTTCCATCGGTCGAAGCGGGACGTCTCCTTTCTGTCGTAAAACAAGAGATAAGACGTATCACAGATCTGTCGCACCATACCACGTTCAATGCAGTGCGCGTACCTCCGCTTTCGCTCGAATCTCATCCAAACTCAGACTATCGGCGATGGAGAAGACGCCACTACGAGTCCTCTCCAGCTTCATAAGCGTGCCTCCAACACACAAATCACCGGCAGGGTTGCGTAAATCGTAGGATGAGTCTATTTGCTCGGGCGGAACCACCAACGCCTCGCCACATTCACGTGCGATCGACCGAATGTACGTGCCTCCTCCACAATCAACGCGGATCTCAACCTGCCACCAGCCACTTAGCTTCTTTCCCTCTCCCCAACAACACGCACAGACGTATCTCGAGCTGCTAACGAACGCACCTCTGGAAAATCTCCCTGCGTGAACTTCTCGACGTCAATGTGCTCAATATACACTCGTCTCGACGGGACACTGAATTCCTACACGATACGAAACAACAAGCCAGCACCAGTACCAGCTTGTTCTCGTCAGCTCCTCTGCTGTCACTTCATCGTTCCTCGACTAACTCTCTTCCTATCAATCCTTTCCTTGTTCGCTCTCGCCAATTTATACATCCTCACGCCATTTTTCTTGATAGCACTGACCCGTGGAGGCACTTGGTCAATCGGTCCAATGAACCTGCAACAAGTCAGCCGTCCATCAGCTCCGTCTTCTATAGCACGTTCCTCTTGCTCCACCTCCTCCTCCTCCTTCCTCCCCCACCCCTCATCAATGTACCTCTGCAAAACCCTTTGCACCGCTTCTTCCGTGACCCATGGAACCGCATGTCGCGTCAATATTTCGCCCGTAACGTCGTCCGAGTCGGTCGTCACTCCCCAGTCGAATCACGCCTCGGTACTCCTTCCCCGTCGTCAGGAACTGCAGAAAGCGCGTGGCTCGGCCCACAGCAACCGTCAAAACTCCCGTCGCCATCGGATCCAGCGTCCCGCCGTGTCCGACCCGTCGTCGTGCATCCAACGCTCGGCGTATCGTCCCCACGCATTGCTGCGACGTCAGCCCCGCAGGCTTCCGCACGTTCAAAAACCCACTCGGTGTCATGCTTCGAGAGTGAAGGTCGTTTTGAGTGGCATGGGGAGTCTGCTGATTGGCTGCTTGGCGACCAATCAGAGCGTGGGCAGAAACGGTCCGCGCAGTTAGAATGCATGAAAGTGCTCAACGTCGCGGAGAAGCCGTCGGTGGCCAAGGAGATTGCCGCGATCCTGTCCTCTGGTCGCTCCCAGCGTGTGTGTTGTGTATCCGCTTGTCACATAGCTAGCTATCTGCATAAAGTGATGACTGCTGATGCTTTGTGCTGTCGTGTTTGCTACAGCGCGCTGGATTCTCCAAGTACAATGCGCTCTTTGACTTTCCGTATCAGATTCGAGGGCAGCAGGTTCAGATGGTGGTCACGTCTGTGACGGGGCACATGATGGAGCTGGACTTTGATCCGAATGTCCGGAGCTGGTACTCGTGCGATCCGGTGGAGCTCTTTAGTGCTCCAGTGACCAAGAGAATACGCAACGACGAGACCCAGAAGAAGATCGAGCAGACGCTGTTGAAGGAAGCCAAGCAGAGTCAGGTACAGTCAGAACGACGTCCATGTAGCACTGTCTGTTTTTGAGATAGCGACGATGTGATGAACTGACGCCGTCTACTAACGTCGGCAAAATGCAGTGGCTGGTGCTATGGCTGGATTGCGATCGCGAGGGTGAGAACATCGCCTACGAAGTCAAGAGCATCTGTGAAAAGTCCAATCGGCGCCTGCGTGTCTTCCGCTCCCATTTTTCGGCGCTAATCCCTCGTGACATCGTTTATGCGGTGCAAAACTTGTCGGAACCTAACGAAAAACTATCGCTTGCCGTAGACGCTCGATCTGAAATCGATTTAAGAATCGGTGCAGCTTTCACAAGGTTTCAGACAATGCGCATACAGAGCAAGTTCCCAACTCTTAAGCAGGATAAGAGTGTGATTAGTTATGGCCCGTGCCAATTTCCTACGCTTGGTTTCGTGGTTGAGCGGTTTCTCAAGATACAGAATTTTGAGCGCGAGACATTTTACTACATCAGCGTTACGCACCAGCAAAACGAGCACGCGGATGCAGCGATGACGACTTTTGAGTGGAAGCGCGAGCACCTTTTTGACCGCATGGCGTGTTTGTGCATCTACGAGGATCTGTTGGATAGCCAAGCAGCAATAATCGAGTCGGTTGATAAGCGCATTTCTTGGAAACGGAAGCCGCTACCGCTTACGACAGTGGAGCTGCAGAAGCGAGCATCGCGATGGTTGCGGATCTCGTCCGAAGCGACGATGAAGGCGGCCGAAAGTTTGTACAACAAGGGTCTACTGAGCTATCCACGCACAGAGACGAGCAAGTTCAAAGAAGGCACGGATCTGATGGGTTTACTTCGGCTGCACGAAAACCATCATCAGTGGGGAAATTACGTGACAGGTCAGCTTTTGGACGGAGGGAAATACGACGCGCCCCGTCATGGAAACTCCGACGATCAGGCACACCCGCCAATTCATCCGACCAAAAGTGTTGATACGAATACGTTGTTAGATCCAAACGAGAAAAGGGTGTACGAGTTTGTCGTCTTGCACTTTTTAGCATGCTGTAGTCGGGATGCCAAGGGTTACCAGACAAATGTCGTGGTGAAAATGCTGGGCGAATACTTTACCGCATCCGGGCTCATGGTGGAGGAACGTAATTATTTGGACATCTATAAATATGAGAAATGGAGCGCATCCGCGATTCCCGTTTATCGGCAAGGGGACGTGTTCCGACCGTCAGCGGTTGTGATGCTATCTAAGGAAACGAACCCGCCACCGCTCTTGTCAGAGGCCGATCTGATCTCGAAAATGGATTCAAACGGGATCGGGACAGACGCTACGATTGCTGAGCATATTAAAACCATCTTGAAGCGGGAGTACGTCGTTAAGGTGAACAACGACGCTCAGTTTCAACCCACGACATTGGGGCTGGCACTTGTGTTATCGTATGAGCACATGGGCGTAGAGCTGGCAAAACCGAAACTTCGTGCAGCAGTAAGTTTGATCTTGAACTGATTATGCAGGCTGTCTTACTGACTGCTATCTTGCTTGAGTTTAGATGGAGAACGACTGCAAGTCAATTTCGTTAGGACAAAAACATATGAGACAAGTGGTGCAATCGTGTATGGATCAGGTAATAGCGATTCGTATCTCTCCGGCACGTAACGTGTTGACACCACTGATTTGCTTGTGCACAGATGAAAAGCATCTTTATAAAAGTCACGCGCAGTGCTGCTGTGCTGGACCAGACTTTTTCGGAACAATTCGGCCTAGCTGTGAACAACCAAGTTGCGAACGGACAGGCCGTGCCACTGCGGGGTGAGCAGCGAGCTGCTTCAGCCAGCGAACCAACTCTTTCCTCTAGGGCAGAAGTGATACCTCAAAGCTCTGCTTGTACCAATACAGCAGTTGCAGGCCCACGGGCTGGTGGAAATACCGACAATACGAACCAAACAGGACGGCAAGCAACCACACGAAGTCAACAACGATCGCCCAGCCATCCCCAGGCACAGAACCGATCACAACATGCATCAAGCATGTCTGCAAGCGTACCCCGATGCACTGACCACGGTTTACCGTGCCTCGAAAGAGAAGTCACTCGGGACGGGCCAAATACAGGACGCAAGTTTCATGTCTGCCCGCTGCCTCAAGGTGAGCAGTGCAATTTCTTTGCTTGGGTATCCGGGTCCGACCCGAGCAATGCCCCTGCTGTGAAATGTCCTGGTCACAACGAACCGTGTGCCGAGAGAACAGTCGCAAAAGACGGTGTGAACAAGGGACGGCAGTTCTACACGTGTCGGCGTAGCCAAACTGACAACAGCTGCGGGTTCTTTCAGTGGAAAGATGAGGTTGTTGAGACGTCCGGCAGCTCAGCGACACAGCATGCTGGCATATTGGACACTACCCCACGGTGTTCCGGACACAGTGTCACTTGCGTCCTGCGCAGAACTAAAAAGGTTGGTCCAAACCAAAACCGTGAGTTTTATTCTTGCAGTCTCGAGGGGACAGAGAGCTGCGGGTACTTCAAGTGGAAAGACGAAACGGAGCCGCGCCTTCGGCAGACCACATCGTCTTCAATGCTGCGTCCAGAAGGCAGCGTAGGTAATACCGGGTTGCCTGTGTGTGGATGCAGCTTGCCTGGCGTCTTACTGGTGTGTAAGAACGGAGCAAACAAGGGCCGGACCTTTTACAAGTGTCCCAATCCGCAGGGAAGCCAATGCGATTTTTTCCAGTGGGGGTCGTAGAGTCTCGTACGCTCGGTAATGGGACCTTGTGATTTGGCATGTCGCGACCACCAATCATCCGACACAGCCCTCTTCAAAAAGACGTATCATGGTCTAGTCCATTGACGGCCTCCATCATGGCCGCCACAACTGGTTGCATCGTTGTCCTCTGTCGTATCTTGGGTTCTTGTCGGTCGCTCAAGAAGAAGCACGCGCCCAATGTGGCCACCTCGCTGTCTTCCTCGTTGTCCATGCGATCCGCGCACTGCAGCAGATCCTCCGCAATGTCCACGACGTCGCCGTCTCGTCTGATCTCCTGCTTGAGCGCCATGTACTGGACCAGCTGCTGTCTGGAATCGGTGAGCTCCAAAATGCGCTTCATCGCGTCGATCCGCTGCTGCATCTCGTTCTCCGCCACCTGCATCGCGTTCTCAATGGACGAGACGCGCTGTAGATAGTGCTGACGCTCCAGTCTGCCCAAGTCCGTAGCTGCCGACTGCTCGTGTCCCGTACCAGTGACTTCTTCCCCTGCCACAACAGGAGAGCACGGCTGGTCTCCGAACAGCGCTTCCGTCAGACTCGTCTCCACCACGTGACGCTGGATCTGCGTCTCCAGGTCGACAGACGCACTGAGGTCCAGGTCATTGTCGCTGTATACGCCACTTGTGTCCAGCTGGAGGAACGTGTCCATTTTATCGAGTAGTGGGATGCACGGTGTTTCTTTCCAGAGGTTTCGATTGAATCGATAAGGACCTACGTTTTAGAGCGGGTCTGCGTACACACAGCTCGAATGCAGCTCCCTATTCAGCAGGCAGCCCCCCTAATACGATCTACTGTCATGTATTTTGGAGATACAAATACCAGATCGGTCTGCCATGCGATCCGTCAAATAGGGCCGACTTCGTTGGATAGAAACAGACACGCTAACGTTTCTAATGCGATCACTTGAGCGTTTGATGGTGAGCCCGAAGGGTGAGCTGAGTGCAAGGTGAAGGCCGAACTTTTTGCTTCGTAATTATCCGTGTGTGTAAATCACAGATAGTTCCGATTCAATGCCTAACATTCACAAGGACGAGTACTCGATGCAGAATCAACGGTGCCTGGCATTGACATAGAAGCTGGCAGCATGCCGCACGTCGACGGAGGACACACTCTCACCGGTGAGGGGGAGTGTTGGAAAGTGGTATTCCGTACATAGCTGGGCACTGGAAAAATACGTCGGTGATCTGCCAGATGGTGCTAGACGGGTCCGTATATGAGGTAGATCTAGGATGATTGATGCGTAGGGTAAACGTGTGGCAGCGGAAGAGGCCGCTACGCTGAGAGATCTCACTTTGCGATCCATTGAGGATTTCCGGCCGAAAAGCGTCTGGCACGCTTCTGTAAGTAAAGCATTTACTTTTATGTGTTCCTGATTTCCTACACAGCGTGCGCAACTTTCTGTTCATAGCACGCACTTGCGACACTGCCTCAACTTTCTGGCACGCGATACATTACAGTACACAACTGTCCTGCAGGCGTTATAAGCACAGCCCATTGCGTGTTCGATTGCTGAATAGAGCAATAGTTTTGATACGCCCTTTTTTGGATCAAGTGTAGAGGGATTACACATCATAGGGTACTCGGTTTCCAGCGTCTTAGACACACAAGATGGTATCCCACTGAACGGGATATAGAATACCTTATCGTTTTATAGGGGCTGACGGGTGTTAGCCACAAGATAGGAAAGATACTAAAGATATCAATTGAGGACATGAGTGCCTAGATTAGGTACTACTGGGATCA